TGTTCTGGGAGTTGAAGTCCACACATCTTAGAGTTGTCAAGGTGGAGAAACACTGACCTACACAGTGTAGCCACCTTGCAAGGTCCCTACTTTCCTGGGATCGCCAAGCCTGTTGAAAGAACCAGGTTTTAAGAGATGCCAGTAGGGTTGGGGCTTATCTTATCTTGGGGGGATGATGTTCCAAAGGGTGGGTGCCACAGTAGAAAAGCCCCCCCCCCCGCTGGGTCCCATCAGGTGGAACTCCTTGGCAGACTGGTCCATAACATCCCCTCCTGCTGGACCTTACGTATTTATTTCATTCAATTTCTGCCGCCCAACTCCAAACTGATTTTGGATGGCTCCCCATGTAAAAGAACAAGAGGAAAATTGCAATGAAATAAATGCCCAAGATGGAAAATCCGGCCATTGGACACCCAAACATAGGCAGGCACGTGGCAAACCCATCCAGGCTGCTCCTTCCTGCGATTTTTCCTTGTAAAGGCTGGGCTAAGAGACATTTTGCATGGTTAAGGGCTGACTTCGATCTTGATCTCTCTGATCCTCATCTAATGCCTCAACCACTACATCACCTAGCCTCTGTGTTGGGTGAATGTTTGCAGAACATATTAATCCTGTTCCCCTGGATTGTGTAATGAGCCCACTGGGTTGGGTTTGCTTAACCCCAAGAGCCACCAACTGATCAACCAAGTTTTAAATTTAGCCATGTTGTGGAAGCCCAGCCAACACTGCAGTGGGAGGCTTTTCAATTCAGGACTCCAGTAACTATGCTTCATCTCCCCTTCAGCTCTCTAGGCGTTTTAAGAGACATGGTTTCTTCTCATCAGGGGTGTCCACAAGATGTGGTGAAAAAAGTCAAGATGGTAGCCATCAGAGTGTAATGAAAGTTTTGCCTTTTAGATGCATCGTACCCACATAAACTTGGCGGGGCTTTGATTGCGGGACTTTTTTGACCACACTCCAGTTACCCCTCGGGGGGGTGTGTGGATTGTCTACATGGGGAAATTGTGTCATGGACCTCCTGTCCCTCTAACAACCCTCTGTTTGCATAAGCTACTAACCCATGCTTAATATTGCTGCAGTTCAAACTCACTAAACCAGAGAGTAAGCCCATGAGTTGATTAAGCAGGAATAGGATGGAGCATCCTGAAGGAGCCAGTTAGCATGGCAGGTGACATGCTGGCAAATGGGTGTTTTGCAAGTGGCTATGTCCCCTTAAGCAGCTATTTTATGAGAGGGACTGTCTCACTTCAAATGAGTGTACATTGCGTAACCTCGCCTTTTCAAATGTGTCCATTTGAGATCTCTTGCGTTGAATGCTGTACTTCATATTACTCTTAATACAGTGGTACCTCGGTTCACGAACGCTTCTGTTCATGACCAATTCGGGTCACGAACAACTCCGTTCGCAAAATTTTGCTTCCGTTCGCGAACGCCGGATCGGGTGAGGAACAGGATCCGTGGCCATTTTCCCTCCTGTGACACGTGGTCGCGGCTTCCTGTAGGGAGGGGGACTCTCCCTCCAAGCAATAACTGCCTCCCCACCCGCCTTCCTGTCCTCCACGCCTGAAGTCACCTCGAGCAAGGTTAGCGTACTCTCTCTTCGTACCGTACTTTGTTTCATATTTTTGCGGTTTTTTAAAAAAAAAAAAAGGTTCAGAACGGATTAACC